TAAAGTTTAATAATGAATGAACCTTTAGTTTGTGACTGTAAAACTGTATGTCTTGTACTATAACCACACAATCAACTCAAAATACATTCCATAACATTTTTATATCGAACCTGGCTCCCAGATCTGAAAATATTTGTCGATAAATGTTTTAAGATCAACAAAACAGTTCTAGCTGATCCTGTAATACACAAACCTCATCTTAAGATCAACAGAACAGTTCTATACACCACCCTGATCTTAAGATCGACAAAACAGTTCTAGCTGATCTTGTAATACACCACCCTCACCTTAAGATCAACAAAACAGTTCTAGCTGATCTTGTAATAAACCACCCTCACCTTAAGATCAACAAAACAGTTCTATACACCACCCTGATCTTAAGATCAACAAAACAGTTCTAGCTGATCTTGTAATACACCACTCTCATCTTAAGATCAACAAAACACTTATAATTGATCCTACAATATACAAATCTCATCTTAAGGTCAACAAAACATTTGTAATTGATAATATAATACACCAACATCATCCTAAAATCAACAAAACAGTTCTGTCCAATCCTATAATGCACAATCCTCATCTTAAAATTAACAAAACACTTCTAATTGATCATTTAATACACAAACCTCATCTTAAGGTCAACAAAACAGTTCTGTTTGATCCTATAATACACAAACCTCATCTTAAGATCAACAAAACAGTTCTGTTTGATCCTATAATACACAAACCTCATCCTAAAATCAACAAAACAGTTCTGTTTGATCCTATAATACATCAACCTCATGTTTTGTTTCACAGCTGTGGCATATCAGCTGCATAAGACTATTTATAAACCTACCACCACCAAACTACATCTCATAAGCATTAAATGCTTTAAATACACAAGTAACCTATTAAAATGATCCAAAGATCTTGTCCTATCTCAAACCAAGTCCTCATATTGTGGTGTTAACAAACCAAAAACAGTTTAAAAACATAGATTACTTAAGACGTTCTATAAATTACAAGAAATTATTGGTGACACAAAGTTACTAGATAATGTTCAGTTATCTGACTAGTTCTTATGGTTTAAATTTTATTTCTCTATCTACTTGAACTGGCTAAGAAAACATGATATAACTTACTTTCAATAGGTTGTTTAGTAAAAAGTAATACTCTCGGAGTTCCATAATACAGTGGTAACCTATATGTTTAAAAAGATCAACAAATAGAAAACTGAGTAATAATTACAAACATCAACTCTATGTAACAAGCATCAAAATAAAAATCAAATTAATATTTAAAAATACTATTTAACTTATTCTACATACTATCAAACTGAAATACACTAATGTTTACATACTAAGACACTAGTTATACATAAACTCAAAAATACTAATATTTACACACTAAGACACTACTTATACATAACATAAAAATAAAAATACTAATATTTACACACTAAGACACTACTGATACATAACACCAAAGTAAAAAATACTAATGTTTACACTAAGACACTACTTATACAAAGCAAGAAATAGTAATGTTTACACTAAGACGCTACTTACACAAAGCAAGAAATACTAATATTTACACACTAAGGCACTACTTATACATAACATCAAAGTAAAAAATACTAATATTTACACACTAAGACACTACTGATACATAACATCAAAGTAAAAAATACTAATATTTAAACACTAAGACACTACTTATACATAACATCAAGTAAAAAATACTAATATTTACACACTAAGACACTACTTATACATAATATCAAAGTAAAAAATACTAATGTTTACACTAAGACACTACTTATACAAAGCAAGAAATACTAATATTTACACACTAAGGCACTACTTATACATAACATCAAAGTAAAAAATACTAATATTTACACACTAAGACACTACTTATACATGACATCAAAGTAAAAATTACTAATATTTACACACTAAGACACTACTGATACATAACATCAAAGTAAAAAATACTAATATTTACACACTAAGACACTACTTATACATAACATCAAAGTAAAAAATATTAATATTTACACACTAAGACACTACTTATACATAAAATCAAAATAAAAAATACTAATATTTACACACTAAGACACTACTGATACATAACATCAAAGTAAAAATACTAATATTTACAAACAATGACAATGCTTACACATAACATCAAATTAAAAAAGTTATAATTTTCCTATACTGAAAATGTATTTCTGATAAGTACTTATCTCTATCCAGATAAAGGAGAAGAGAGGTAGGGTGATAAAGGGTATACATGAAATGTAAATAGCAAACAATCCAACCTTCCATGTCCACAGGCTAAGAGAAGAAGGAAATATGTTTTAAGGGAAAGATGAAATGTGGAACCTGAGGAAAGTGGTTTGAACGGAGGTAAAGTAAGGGAATGTACGATCACATTAATGTTCCAATCTGGGAGGGCAACATATCCAGAAGGAATGCATGAGCATGGTAAGGACATGGGAAGTAAAAAACCGTATGGTATTGGGAAGAACAAAAGTTATGAGATAAGGCAACCGGAAATCCAGAAAGCAAGGAGAATGTAGACCCACAGTCAATGAGCCAGATTAGAAATTCCACCATGTGAGCCACAGTAGGTTTGTCAGTGGGAACCCCCTAATAGTAGACCAACTGTGAAATACCTTCCATTTGCATTGGTACACCTCCATGAAAGATGGATGGATGGAACTAACTAACAAGGAAGCGACTCACTGTGTGAAACCAGATTGTCTCGCCAAGGACAAGACAAAAGCCAGGCATGAAGATGCAAGATGTAGGATATGTGATTGAGGTTGATCAAGAAGTGAGGGAGAAAGTGTAAGAGGGACATGGGGGTGAGAAGCAGTTGTTGTAACCTTAGAAACCAAGACTGAGTTGGCCAATTGGGAGCAATCAGTAGGACTCAACAAGGAGTGGAGTGGACAAGAGAAATCATCCAATGAAGTAATTGGATGGGGGGTACACATAAAAATACTTGTGTGACCAATCTTGGCTGAAGGCATCGACTGCCAGAGCCTGTGGATGAGGTACAGGTGACCAAAAGAGTGGTGACTTAGTGTTCAGGCCCGTAGAAAAGGCATCCACGAGGGGAGAACCCCACCAATGGCAAAGATCCCTGAAAATGTGGGGACATAATGCCCACTCTGTGGAACATATCTGGTCGAGGTGCAAAAGATGATCCATGACTAGATTGAAAGCACCTGATATATGATATTCAATAAGGCAAATGTGATGTACGTAGGTCCAGTATAATAGATCCAATGTCCAAAAACATAGATCTCTTTACCGGGTGCCCATTTGGTGGTTGATATATGCCACTACCATAGAATTGTCTGAATGAATCATCACCACACAATGTCGGGCAAGAAGAAGGAAGTAATGCAACATCTGATGTATGGCTAGAAGTTCGGATCACTGATATGCAAAGTGCTTTAATATGCAGACCAATAGCTTGAAGCTTCCTGGTGATTGACCCATGCCCGCCAATGTATTGGCTTTGTTCAGCCACCATTGCAGCTCGTCTCACCGGTAAGGAGAAAGAGAAATGGGGGTGGAAAGAGGATTCTGAGCAAGGTTTCATCATTCATAAAGCAATCACTGAAGAGATCTCATAGCCGCATGACCAAGAGGGACCAGTGCTGTCATGAAAGATCACATTTCCAAAAGCATTAGAACCTCACGAGCAATAAATGACTGAGCCGAGAGGACATGGTGAACCAAAAGTTGGTTGGTTGGTTGGTGTTTTATGGCACAAAGCAGCTAGGCTATCTGCACCAAACAACCGGTAAAAGCAATGAAAGTAAATTAAAGTAAAATGTAAAAAAAGAAGCGAGTTAAAATCAATACATGTCGGTAAATGATTTATATAGAATTAAAAATACAATCTAATCGGACAGTGTCACCATTACCAATGACACCGTCCAGCGTCAGGGGTAAACTTTTAGA